AGAGGTTTTGTCAGTGAAAGCATAGCAAGAGCATGGGGCAGTCCAGATACAATACAGAAGATGCAAATCCATCCTACTGCATGGCCTGCTCAGATAGCTCTTTGGGTTTCAAGTCTGTTGTAAGGAGAGGGCTGCTTTGGTTCCTGGCCACTTAGCTCCGAAATAATCACACAGAAACTTTATTAATTAAATCATGGATTGGCCCATTAGCTCTAGCTTCTTGTTGACTCTTACATATTAATTTAACCCATTGCTATTAATCTGTGTATCACCATGTAGCTGTGGCTTACCAGCTAAAGTTCTGTCTGGCTCTGGCGGGGCTACATGACTTCACTCTGACTCTGCCTTCCTTTCTCCTAGCATTCAGCTTAGTTTTTCCCTGCCTACCTATATTCTGCCCTGTTCAGGCCCAAATCAGTCCTTTATTAACCAATGGTAGTCACAGTATACAGGGGAATCTCACATCACCTCCCCTTGTCTGTTTAAATAAAAAGGAAGGTTTTAACTTTAACATAGTAAAATCACATATAACAAAGCAGAATCTAGCAAGAATTACATTTACAATATTTATATCTATTTTATCTTTTATCATGACTAAGGAAAACTATAACTATCAATTCTTCAACTCCATCAAAGACTCCAGAAGGATATTATATTACCTAAGTAAACAATAAGTTCATTGTAAGCAACTTCCAAAACTCTAGAAATGACAGAGACCTCTTGGTGCCTGGACAGTCACCCAAAGTTCTTCTGTACTGTTGGAGCATCCATCTTCAGCCTACAGGCCCATAGTATCCAGCAGACTTCCATGAAGGAAGAAGTTTCAAAGACAGTTCTGCCTATATTGGCAATTTGACATTCACTTTCTTCTGTATCCTGCAGAATGTCTGGAAGACTCTTTGATGAAGGAGGAACCCTGAAGTATTGTCTCACCTTTAGGCAAGTTCAGCAGTCATTTCTCTGTGGGTCCTGCATATCTAGTTCATACAACGTAGTATCAAGCAGTCCAGGAAGAACAGTTTCTCACCCAAATGGCTAGCAAACTCCATAAGGAGTCTCTTTGATGCCCATCATCCTCTTGGAGTAGATTGGTGCTGTCAGGAGCATATGTGTCTCACTGTCATGAAAAGTTCTAAGTTTTAAAACAGTTTAAATGCCATATTCTGTAGTCTTTGAAAGGTTCAAAGAATGCCTATCCATCTGAAATACATCTCTGTACATCTAGAAAATCTAACTAACATGACTACAAGCTTGACTATTATAGATGATATTTTAACCTATATTTCTTAATTATACACTACATTTTTATTTATTTTTATTTTTTATTTTTTTGGATTTTTTCGAGACAGGGTTTCTCTGTAGCTTTTTGGTTCCTGTCCTGGAACTAGCTCTTGTAGACCAGGCTGGCCTCAAACTCACAGAGATCCACCTGCCTCTGCCTCCCGAGTGCTGGGATTAAAGGCATGCGCCACCACCGCCCGGCTACACTACATTTTTAAATGAGCTGCACACACAACACCTTAATCAAGAGCAGAAATATACATATAACAGACTTGACCTTAAATTTGTATCAACAAACCAAGATCCACACCAATGCAAAGTATCCATCTCTATAGCATATCTTCCTTTAAATGTAAACAAACATTTATAAACAATATTTGGGAATTTGGGCATAGTTCTCAAGACTACTTCTTGCTGGTTGGGTGTTGTTAATCAGGTCTTTCATGGTGTATCCTGTGTTCTAGGTTCATCTCAGTCATCAGTTGGGTGAAGTAATTTTGGGGGGGGGTTCATGGCAACCTTTTTAGGGGATCTTGGTCCATCAGACTATATTACTCTGGAAGCAACCCACAGGTTCTCAACCTCTGTGGAAACAAAAGAAAAACCTCTTTTCCAAAGTAACATATTTTTAGACTCAAAATTTGAAGTCAAGAAACCTTTAAAACATAACATTGGTTTAGTTTAGCAGCCCATATAGAAAAAAGGGAGCTTACTATATCCCTTCTTCTTGGTCTCACACTCTGGGACCTAATGAGGAATTCTTGGGCCCCATCCCATCTTATGTGTGGACCACAGGCTTGGATGGTCTCTGCTCATACTGTGGCCCCTGTGTCTGGCTGTCCCACCTATACTTCCTGCCTAGCTACCAACCAGTCAGCTCTTTTATTAAACCAATCAGAAGGCACCTTGACAAAGACACATCTTCACAGTAGACAAAAAGATTATTCCATTATAGGTTTCTCTGTTGTTGGGATTTGATCGCAGGCTGCCTCACTTGCCCTTGAGCCTTAGAGGGCAAGCACTGATGGACTTATTTCCACATTTTGAGGCCCTCTGTGTACTAAAGATGAAGACATGTGCAACCATGTGTAGGGTATATGTCTGCACAGGTCTTTGTTGGATGGCTAAGCTCTGAGACTTTATGTATCAACTGCAATGTCAGAAATCTAAACCCAAGGCCTTTTTATGGCAATGAGACTTGGGTCAAAGGACCCTCTTGTTTGTCCGGTGAGATGTCCTTTGCTTGCTTTGATCTGGATCCCGTGAGTGGACTCATTTAGTGTGGTGATCTTGGCAACACATCAAACCTCATGGCTGGAGCCTCTGACCAGCCATTTCCCCTACTGGCCAATCAAGACTTCCTGTCTGGCCATCCTGTATCGTTCCCATAAATCCTCATCTTTTAGAAACTCATTACGGAGTGACATTTCTTGAGGGTATTCATTTTATGTCAGGAACTTTCCCAATTCATCACCTCCTTTCATCTTTCTACCTATTCTTGGGAGTAGATGGGATTGACCCCAGTTCACACTCGAGGAAACCGGAGGCTCTGGAATGTAAATAAACTCGGTCGAGACTCCGCTGAAACTCAGGATACATGGGTCTTTGGCCCAGGTTCGTTGGAGACAAACCTAGTGCCCAGAGGCTGTTTTTCTGTCCCCAAGTCCATCACCATATCCTCCATTGGCATCTCTTCCTTGGCTAATCATCTGGAAGCTCCATCCTCTCTTTATTCATAGCTCTGAGTCCTTCCTCTCAGGCCCTCTTCGACCTCCTCGATGTCCTTCTATTTCCCAGTCATTTGCACTTATTTCTGCCAATAGGGCTCCTGTTTAAAGCCAGAGCTCTACTCCTGCCCCGAAAAGCACAATGCCTCGATTATAGAAGAGACCCCATGTGTTTATTTCTGTTAAACAAAGGGAATTTGCTCACTGCTCTTGGGGGCCAAGCTTTTCCTCCGCTGTGTGTGCCTCACTCAGTGTGGTGTACTCAAGGTCAAGAAGTCCACTGACTGGGTCCGAGCTACCCCCTAAGAATGTCTTCCTGGATTTTATGCCTCTCACATGTACAAACCTTTCTTTTTTGGGGGGCGGGGGTAGGGAACTGGTAATGATGATCGTTATTACAGTTATAAACACAGAGGCTAAGAATTCTCTCTTTCATATGGCAGGAGCTGCCCTGTGGAAAGAAAACAAAGTGCTGCCAGCTCTTTAAGTTCCCAGCCACGGCCCACCTAAGCTCCCGTGAATCTGAGTTCCAGTGTTCCGGATGGAAACGCCTGTGACCCAAAAGGTCTTTCTGTGGGCTCTTGCTGTGCTGTGTGTGTATATGGATGTGCATTGTTTTTAATAGAAAAGGCAGTTATAATCTCTAGGAATGAAGAAGTTAAAATCTTCCTAACAGGGGCCCTGACGAATGGCCAGTGGAGTCCACAGGATGTCACAGGGAGCAGACCAGAGGGAGCTTGTGCTGGTTCTTGGTAACACAGAGATAGGGAGGGACTTTTACCCACAATGCCTGACCTTCCCCTTCCAGGTCTCTTGGCCAAGTTAGACCCTTTCTTCACCCTGCCAACCCCGGGCCTCCCAAATGGACCCCTGATTTCAAGCATGCTGAGGCGTCTGACTTTCTTTCCTCCTACTCCAGACCTTCCTGACCCTCCTCCTGCCCCTGAAATGTGGACTTCCTTTCTCTGCTTCCTCAGGGCAGGCTCCTGGAGACCAGCTAATCTGCTAATGTGATAATGCGGACAAATGTGCTTTTCCCCAGCCCAGAGTGACACTGTTGTTAGTTTCTTTTTGCTCAGACGCAGACAAGCAGGGAGGCTGGAGAAACAGGGCCAAACCTAGCAGATAGCATCAGGCCTGGTAGTTTAGGCTTCTTGTTACTGTTTTTGTGTAACTGGGGGCACAAAGTCAGCCAACTAATAAAGCAGCTGCTGCTTGGAAGGTTCAGGTCCAAATTATGGTCCATTGTAGGTCTGAGGGGACCCCCACCCCTGTTGGATTACATAACACGGTCTTCCCTACCTTGAGTGCTGTCTAGCATGGTTTTGTTTGAGAGATGATCTGTGTAAATAAGAAAAAAAGTTAAAAGTACCGTGTCATCCCCAGCCCTCAGCTGTGCAGACATTTCTTTCCCTGACAGCTTGTCACCAAGGGCAAGGATCCCAGCTCCCCAAATTCCCATGCATCCCCCCATCACCACCCTGTCTACATCTAGGTCTGTTTGTGGAAGGGATGCGTGCACAGCAGGTTGTCTTAGCTAGAGCTTTCACTGTTGCCTGCCCTCGAGCTGAGCTTCTTTTCAAATGGGAGCTGAGTCTGGAAGCTTTTTTTGGCTCATTTTCTAGTCCCTCGCTAAGCCTTTTCTTCTTCATTGTCTCCTCATTCTCATCCGAGACACAGGATGCCCCTAACTAAGGATTATCTCACTTCCTCTGTGACTACGGAGGCAGAAGAGAAGAGCCCAGTCCCTGGGAGAGACCCATCTCTGGTCAGCCCTGCTTCTGACAGCTTTGGTATTGATGGCCATTGTCTGTATGAAAATAGGAAAATTCCTTCTTTGCTTACTAGGAGGGCAGGGCTTGACAAAAAAAATGAAGGCTCTGTAAGTCTCCTTTTTAGGTTCATGACGCCATTAATTGATTGTAATTTTCCCCTTAGCCCCAAGTTGGGCTGCATTGCAGCAGACACGATCAAGCTGTTGGAGTTTACATTCAGCAAGCAACACCCCTGTCATTCTGTCCCAGAGATGCCAGTTTCCCCAAGCAGGAGTGTAGTGTTGTGTGGGTAGGGGATGTTTGTAGTAGCACACAGCTAATGCGGCATGGAATCGGGGACACAGTGGAAGCGAAATTCTGTTTTCTTAATGGGCAGGTGCTCTGAACTTTAAGGAAAAAACCTTGGCTTGTCTCTTCCGGACATGAGTGTCTGTTTTATCCTCCTAGCAGGAAAGAGCATAAGAGACCAACATCCCTTAAGGTAGCCATTGGCATGCTTCTTGTAGGAGTAAAGTCATGTATTGTGGTGACTCCTGCTGCCAGTGGGTCTTGGTGGAGGAGGTCTTGGAGCCAGAGACAGAGAGAGGACCAGGGGGTAGAACTGGGGGTATCCAGTTCCTCGGCAGTCTTAGCAGCCCAGGGTTGATCCTCAGAAGAACATTGATTCTCCATGTCTGCCGCTGGTATTTAGACACCGCCGGAATGTCCTGGCAGAACTGTCTGTCCAAATCCATTCAAAATTGATTTTTGTGAGTGTGTTGTCTTTGATGGGGGAATTTTGGCTGGGGTCCCCGTAAGCCCCCCAAATCAGTCAGACATTCTCGTCTCCCTTGCTTAATTCATTCAGGGTCTTTGTGTGAGTCTGGACCTCTGTGTTGCTTCTGAAGCCAGTTCAGATGATCTAGACTCTAGGGATCTCGCACTGCAGTCTGAAGAGCCCAGAGTTTTGATTGATGTGGCAATCTCTCAGCAGGGTCAACACAGCCTCTTGTAGAGACACTGGATGGCAGCCAGCATCCCTAGTCCCGATAGATTGTCAGGAAATTGGTAAGAATGTCTGACCAGTATAGAAAAAAAGGAGTACGTGGGAAAAGGAAAGCAGAGATTACAACGGACATGCCTCTCTTTGCTGGATTTATTTTTACTTTTAGCAGCAGCCTCTCCATAGCCCAGGCAGGTCTGAACTTTACTACGTTCCCAGGTTGGGCTGTGAGCACTGCCATGCCCAGCTTCTCTTTCAACATTTCCTGTGAGCCCACCTCATCCACTCTGAGCCCTTTCCACTTTCCGGGGGGGGGGGGGCTGCTCCAGGCGAGCAGGGTGCAGGGTACCTACGCATGTGACATGTTCTGTTAGCTTAGGCGCTAGGCGTGGGGAGGAGACTGCATCCTAGAGGCAGGCGCCTGAGACAAGTGGTAAGCCAAGGAAAACGAAGACACTGACAATCAGTGGGAACTTATAACATGTAGGAGTTGTTCCAGGAAGTAGAGATACTCTGTTCTCTCAGCTTCACAGGTTAGAGTTAGGGGTGTCCCTCTTTCTCTCTTGGCTGGTACAGGAGCAGTGGCTGGAGAGCCTGTCTGGGATTCCTCTCCCCTAAGTAACACAAGTTACTTTATAACCAGCTCATGCAAAGATGTCACTCAATGCCACTGTTCCTTAAGGAAATTCAAGTCCAAAACGTCATTCCAAGTCCTTCCCTTCTGGCTTCTCCCTAAGCAGCACTCAGGAGGCAGAGGCAGGCAGAGCTCTGTGAGTCAAAGCCAACCTGGTCTACAGAGTGAGTTCTAGGACAGCCAAAGCTGCACTGTGAGACCCTGCCTCAAACAATCAAACAAAACTAAGAAAAAGAAAAGTGTTTTGATTTCTTATCATTTATTTGCTAATATTTGTCCCATTCTGTGGGCTATCTTTTCACCCTCTTAAGAGTTGACTCTACTACTGCTGTTTCTAGGCTTTGACATTTCACCTAGTTCCTGGTACTTCTGAATCTTATCCAGTCATGAACATCAGAGAATGGAGCCAGCATTTATCAGGTAACATCCACATACTGTCTCCTTCGATCTCCATGGTAGGCCCATGGCATACATTGTTGCCCCTATTGTCAGGTGTGGAACTGAAGTCCCAAACTATGAAGATGTCTTAGCCATCCTCCCCTCTAAGGAGTGAGAATAGGAAAGGAGATTCAAACCACACTGTGATTCTCAAATCCACCCTCCGTTTTCTATAGATCTCTTTCCAGCACAGTGAGTCGACAGTAAATCCATCACATTGATAGAATTAAAATACTTTATAAATGGAACAATTAAGGGCCTGGCCATTCACCTAATGTCACCCCCAATGAAAGGCGTGGGAACTGTGTGGATCTGGGAGCCTGGCTCGGGAATGAGAAAACTCCCATTAGTGCCTGTGAGCCCTGCGGGCAAACCATTGTGTTAAAGCTTCCTTTCGGTGGCTGTCAGGGTGGCTGCACACTGGTCATTATTCCCCTTGGCATCGCAGGATGGAAGCTGGCAGAATCAGGCCCCAAGGCACTCTGGGATACACATAATTGAAGCAAATAAAAGAGCTTGCAATCACTACCACGCCTGGGTTTCCTAGTGAGATTAGGAGGGTAGAGATCACGGGGAGGAAGAGAGAGGGTCATGGGTAAAGTCTCGAGAGAATGGCTGCCTGGGGGAAGGCCAGGAGGGCAGGTCTAAAAACTTTTCTTTTCTTGAAATATGAAATAGGGGGTGTATGATAAATCTCAACCAATCCTGGAGATCACTTGGTGCGTAGAGCTAAGTGAATGACGAAGCAGGTTCTGAACTCCCAGCATCCAACACTGTTCCTTCTTCCCGAGTTTCAACCACAAGAACCCACTGGTCCTAGCTGTTGGTGAATATTATTTTCAGGTGTGTGACTTTCGTTTACGCTGCAGTTGTTTAACACTGTGAGGTTGTGTTACTGTGCCTGGTTAAAACACCTGATGGTTTAGATGTGCCTATCTAAAACACACACACACACACACACACACACACACACACACACACACACACACTCACACACAGAATCCTTTAGCCAGATGTTTCTTGCAGACACCACCTCCTGGCCCCAGCAGGGCCTGGAACTGAGGGGGATGTTTTGAAGGTTTATCAGAGTCCACAGAGTGGAGGGACAGTGTGTCTCTGGCAGCATCAGGGGCCCAACTATGTGGTGTGGATGCAGCCTTGCTCCACACCAGGCGAACTTCTTACAACTTCCTTCCATCACACTGCCCCAAGTGGGATCTCATTCCCGAGCACAACTGCAGGAGATCTGGGCCTTGGGAATCAGCTGGTTAGTTGTGTTTATTAACAAGCCTTTGTCTTCTTCTTTGAAGACAGGAAACTCATTAGCAACAAGCTAGAACAATCAACCTCTAACCCAGGCTTTAAAACTTCCTCTGAGAAGGGGGGGATATTTTAAGGGGGGAGCATGGTCAAGACATAGCCAAGTTAGTTGCCAGGATGCCCAATCAGGACCAAGGCAAGCCACATTCCTGAGATTTTTGAGGTTCCCTTGGGGTGTCTGCTTTCCGGCTGTGATCTATCTCACAGCTAGAAACACCAGGAAAAGCTGGGACAAAGTGTAGTGTGGTGATTAGTGACAATGGCCCTGGGGTCCAGCGACTGGCTCCATGCTATAGTCCAGCCGCTTGCTAATTGTGGCCTTGGGTAAGTTATTTAACCCTAGATCTGTCATCTTTAAAACAGGGATGCGTAGTAAAAATACCCTTCACGATATGATGGTGTGGTATAAGACATCCCTATCTATATCGTTTATAGGAGAGCCCATGAATTCTTTGAGTCACTGCCGTGGGAGGCAAGGCATAAACGAGCAAGTCAATGCCTTTGCTTTTGAGGGGAGAACTACTCAGTGGGACAGACACAAATGTATTCATTATCGTATGATTTATAAAATGCACACCCCAAGTATACAGCTCAAGCTTCGGGGGCATGCTGAGGGGGAAGAGTGTGGGTGCAGGGCTAGTGATGGTTGTGTTACGGCAGGGCGGGGTACTGAGTCCATTACAGCAGTGGTGGTGGTGATGGTGGTGGTGGTGGTGGTGGTGATGGTGGTGGTGGTGATGGTGGTGGTGGTGGTGGTGATGGTGGTGATGGTGGTGGTGGTGGTTTGATTCTGTGATTACTACTGGGCTTTTCTATGGATTTATTTTTCTCAGGGAGATACTTGTTCAGAGTTGGATAAGCATTTTCTACTGTGATCCCCACCACTTGCCTTTTCCAGGTCAGCTATTTTTAGTTATAGACGGTCATTTTATTTTCTTCAGGGGATCTTTGACTCATAAGTTTGTTAACACAGAAATTTTGTTCACTCAACTTGTGATACTGAAGTTCTTTTTTTGTAACAGATTGATGTGTGTGTGTGTACCTACTTGACTATATATGTATATGTAGTGCTTAAAAGGGCCAGAAGAGGGAGTGAGGGAACGGAACCGCTGAAGCTGAAGTACAGACATTTGTGAACTACCTAATGTGTACTGGAAACACAGCCTTGATCTTCTACAAGAGCAGTGATCTATACTGAAGTGCTGAATTTTAAGGTTGGATCCATCTTTGTAATCTGTTTCATTTGTGAAACACACAACTGATCCTAGAGATAATCTTCCACATTTCCTTTAAAAATCTCAGTCCTTCACATTTAAGTTATTTAAAAATTATGTATTACGTGTGTGTGTGTGTGTGTGTGTGTGTGTGTGACAGAAAGAGAGAGAGAGAGAGAGAGAGAGAGAGAGAGAGAGAGATTAGGACTCATGGTCACTACAACAAATAAGTAATAATAAGTTGCACTAAGTCCCTTCTATAGACAGGTCCAAGTCTCATCATTTGAGAGTGCTGTCTCCAGTTCTCAGAAACAGTCCATGAGTAGCGCTGTCAGGGACCTGCTTCAGACATGACAAAAGGGTGAAGGATGCCTGCTGAGATTAAGACAAGAGAGTAAAGACAACAGGTGCCAGATGGAGTCTGAACCCCAAGAGTCATGTTTTATAGGGTGTGTGTGTGTGTGTGCTGTGTATGTGATTATGTGTATTGTGTGCATGTGGTTGTGTGTGTATTGTGTATGTGGTATTTGTGGTGTGTGTGTGTGCATGCATATGTAAGTGTGGAAGGCAGAGTTTGTTGTTGGCATCTCCTCGACCTGAGTTTTAGAGGCAGTCTCCTACTGAACCTGGAGCTCACTGATCAAGGCGTCTAGACCAGTCAGCTAGCTCAGCCATCTGCCTGTTTGCCTCCTAGCACTGAAGATTACAAGCAGGCTCCAAACCTGGCTTTTAATCTGGGTCCTGGGAATCTGAAACCAGGTCCTCCTTCTTGCAGGGCAAGTGCTTTCCTGACTAAGCCCTCTCCCTAGCCCCAGGATTTATTATAACCGTTACCTAAGCAGCGTGACTAAGCAGGAAGAGTTGAACGTAGAAATGCATGGTTTCCCTTTGGGTCCTATCTGCCTCTGCTCACCTTGCTGTGTAGACTGTTAGCACCTCTGGGAGCCCTCAGAAATCTGTGGGCAGTTTGTGGACTCTCCCTCCCCTTGAATCTGCCAGGGATTTGCCAGCTTATTGAAGCTTTGCCCAAATCACAGGTTCTTTCTCAGCCTCAGTTTCCCCCACTGTTTGAGCAGTATCGCTTACCCCTTTCTTCTCTGGTCTACTGTAAAGATCAAAAGGCAGGCCGGCAGTGAAGAGGAATTATAAACTGAAAAGTGTACCCCAAAGGTCAAAACCAAGCGGTGAACCGAGCATTAAAACTTGAGAGACAATTTGATAAACAGATAATGCCTCTTATCCCGAGGCCCGGCTGTCCGGGAACTCACGGTGCTGTGTACTGTGTCAAAGAACCAGACGGGAGAGCTGCCTTTTTTACAAGCAGTTCCTGGAAATCTCGAGCTTTATCAGGGAATTTGGTTGCTCCAGTTCACTGCCGAGTGAAAATAGCTGGGCCTTAATGGGGCCCAGATGTTGATGCAGCCGCCCACCTTCCCCCATTGCGTAGACGCGTTTCATACCGAATTTCACCTAAGGAATTTTAGACTTTTAAGATAATAATCAAAACCACTGCTTGCTTCCCTTCGGGATTCTTGCTGATTTGAGAGATCAAAGATGCCCCGCTCACACAGTGATGAATGAAAGGAACACTGCCCCAGGAGTACAGTTGGCCCAGGTAGATCTGCTCAGAGCCTCTTCACGACTCAGTCTGACAGCCCTTCTCTGTCTCCTGCTATCTGTGAAGGTGGCCAGCCTGCTAATGCTATTAGCTTCTGTTTCACACACAATCAAATGGACGCCTTCGCTGCTTAATTCTTGGCATACCTAAAAAATAGTTCTCTGTTTCTAGGTGAAGCTGAGATGTTTAAACTCCAAACAATGAGCCATTCCCCAGGGCCTCTCGCATGGAGGTTCGTAGGATGGGAATCCGGCCCAAAGGAAGGACGCCCGCCATGGTGGCCCCTCATTTTGTCCGGGGGAGGTGGCCTGACTTGACTCTCTGCGAGGAGCTGAGAAATAACACGACTCTTGACTTTGGAGTGAGCCAGTCACTCGGGGAGACCAGGCTGTTTTCATTACACGCTCCTGGAATGCGTGGGATCTGCTCTAGGTCACCAGGGATTTCACAAACCCCCAAAGCAGGAATGGCAGAAATTTGACTTTTGGAGCCCTATCCACTCCGCTGTTTGCTCTGTGCTTGTCCTGCCTTCCTTAAAGAAAAGGCTGACAGAAGCCTGCCAGTTCTTTGAGAGGGCTGGGGAGGACTTTGTTCCACAGAGGCATTCCCTGACTGCATTGGCAAGAGTATCTTGTTGGCAAGGGCACTCACTCTGGGATGGAGGCATGCCTATGATGGGGGTCTAGCTTGTCATCCTGGCTTTGCCATTTACTAGCAGAGAGACTTGGAATTCCTTGGGAGTTCTATTTTCTGACTCTAAAAAAAAATAAAAAATAAAAAAAAACAAAAACACACACACACACACACACAAAAACAAAAACACACAAAAAAACCAAACAGACAAGTGATGTGTATGAAGACGTGGGGGTAAACTCGCAGGCCCAAGAGCTCTGGACAAACTGAATTTTCTAGAAAGATGTGTCCTCTGCATAGAAAGCTGACACTGTCAAATTGTATCTGAGATGCCCTGGTACTGGAATCCCAGGTGATTGTGAGCTGCCTGATGTGGGTGCTAGGACCTGAACCAGGATTCTCTGTGAGCTGGTGAGCAAGGAGCCATTTCTCCAGCCCTGCAGCTATGGTTCAAATCTTTAAAAGGGAAAAATGTTAGTTCCTCTATCAGCCTAGACAAGATCAGAAAGCCAGGCCCGCTTTAGAAGCTGCTTTTGGTAGGGTGTTCAGCTCTTCTCCCTAAATCAATTCGGCAGTGTGTAGGGAGCTCTTGGCTCATGGTAGGTATTGTGCATACCTGGGGCTTTGGTGACAAAGTGAGCCAGATAGATGTGACTCTGAAGCCAAGGTTCAGAAGGTAAAAAAAGTTAAGTGGACAATTACCAGTGAAATGAAGGTCACAATGAGGTCAACTGTGCGGAACCTGCAGGGTAAGAGAAAGAGACAGGAGGGGCTGCGGTGTAAAACCCTGCACAAACTCAGTGGGCCTGGGGGAAGGGCTGCTGTGTAAAACCCTGCGCAGACTCAGAGGGCCTGTCACCTCCTTGGGATTCAGAGTCTTGGACTGTCTAGGGTTCTGACAGTGTTGGTCCAGGAGTTCCAGCTATTTTCTAGGGTACCACGTAGGGACAAGTGGCAGTGACTCTCAGATGGTGTCTATGGTCATAGCTGGGAGCCACTGTCATTATTTTTCTTTATGGGCCTCATGCCTTAGAAGGGGCCGTTGGCTTTGAGACTAGAAGGAGCCTACTCTCTTTGGAGGCTCAGGTTGGGAGCTGTGTGACTCAGGAGCCTGTGTGCTAGGGTTCTGACCTTGACTCCACCACTTGTTTTCTTCTGTGGCTTGTGCCTCTGAGCCTTCTCCCTAATCTGTGGGATGAAGATGCTCAGATGTTCCATCCAGTGCACTCCATGGTCCCTCAGCTGCAGTGCCAAGTACCCACACCTCCTGGAGGGGCACTGAGCTTCACTCTCTGCATGGTGGGCTTTGGAGTCGAATTCCTTTTAAGAGGATGGAAAAGACAAAGCCCAGATTTCCCTGCTGCTAAGAGAGTGGCCAGGATGATAGCAGACAGCCCGTGTGCACTCTTTTACCTAAAATAACACCAGGAAAGACCCCAGGAAGAGAGAACCTGAGGCCAGAATTAATCAGGGGAGGGTGTGGCATGGTTGTCTCCGAGGTTTGGTAAGGACATATGAGAGAGAAATATTTTAGAGAGAGAAGATAATGGGAGAAAGAGAGAGAGGAGAGGAAGAGAGAGAGAGAGAGAGAGAGAGAGAGAGAGAGAGAGGGAGAAAAAGAGTATTATTGGCACGTGTACGTGAACCGAAGATTTGAAGGTACAAGGTGTGTCAAGTCCTGCTACAGCTTAATCTCATAGCCCAGGCCCTACCAAACAGACAAGGTGTAGGGAGATGAGGGCTAATGGGATCCTAGCACCTCCCTTTACCTGTGAAAGGGCCTATGTCATCCTCTCCCTGCCCAATCTCCATCAATTTGGATATCTGAAGCCTTTTGGGAAACCAAAGAGCTGTCTTGCCAATGTTGTTGGTGTGCTTTGGTCCGGAGGCCTAGAGGCCTCTGCGGCTACGTGTTTTCAGCATGCATCTAGCCGAGAATGCACCTGTCAGCCTTAACAAGGAGAACAAAAGCTTGCATTTGACAGGAGAAGGACAGCTAAGGAGCAGCCGCGGCCCATCTGCCAAGTGGCATTCCTCAGCAAGCAGAGATGCAGCCTGGAAGACACGCACACTACTTGAAAGAAGTCTTTCATCCAGGCAAGAGGGGATCAGCACATCTGTACGGCATTGATCCCCCACTCTCTGCCCGGGATTTGGCTCTGAGCTGGGGGGCCGCCACACGAAGAAAGCATCTGAAGCATCCGAAGGGGCTGGGCTGCGGATGGGCAGCGTTGTGGGAGGGAGGAATGCAAGGTGAAACATTCAACTTAATTTGGCTTTTCTTCATTTTTTTTTCAAACACTGATGTTTGATGATGTATTTATATGTTTGTTATTTGTCTGTTGTGAGCATGTGCAGTGTGTGTGTGTGTGTGTGTGTTCATATAGGTCGAAGTGAAAGGTGGATGTGTGTATTTTCCTCAATTGTTCCCTACCTTATGTTTTTGAGACGGTCTCTCATGGAGCCTGAAGTTCACAGTTTCAGCTAGACTGGCTGGCCAGTGAGCTCCAGGGAGCCTCCTATTGCTGCTTCTCCAAGCGCCAGGTTAGTGGCATATGCCAATGTGTCTGGTTTTTCCAGCGTGCTGGGGATTCATTCTCAGACCTACAAGTTCATGTCACAAACCCTTCACCGACTGAACCATCTCCCTGGTCTCTGGTTCTTCTCTCTTTCCAGAATCAGTTTTTTTCTCTTATATTTTAACAATGGTGGGGGCAGATCATGTAACATTCCTACTTTGCACATACATAGTTTGCCTTGTCTTGGAAGGAAAAACACGCCCTGTCACGAATAGCTCACGACCTCCTGCGTGCGAGGCAACCTTAGGATTCTGGCTCCTGGGGTGTTTATTTTGGTTGCTGGTTAGTGTGCTGAGCACGGATGAGAGTCCCTTGACACGCAGCTGAAATGCATCAGAAGCTTAAGGCGTAGTGTCTCTACTGGGAACACAGAGGCTGTAGCTATGCAAGAAAAATCCTTAAAGGAAGAAGAAACGAGACCCTGGCCTGTGGACAGAGCCAGTGTATCTGCGTCCTTGGAAGAAATGGTTTGGTAAAGAATTTCTGGAATAAGTTGGGCTGTTTTAACTGAGGGTGACCACAAAGCCTGCTGATAGAGTGGGAATGCCTGTCGTGGTCTACCAGATGTCCTGACAAAAGGTCCAGAATAACAAGTCAGTTCTTAGGTAAAGACCAAAATCAGATAAGACAAACATGAATTTCCTCACCCAAGACTCAACGAGATCTGACCCTGGTAACTCAGTGACTTAAAAATTGAATTTGGGGGCCGTCATCAATCCCTTGAAGTTTTTTAAAAGTAGCAATGATCGAGACGGAACTCACACACTATGGACTTCACCCTTTTAAATGCCCTTCCAATGGTTTCAGTGTATGATTGGAGTCATGTATTCATCATCAATTCCAGATACGTTTTGTTAATCTATATAAAATAATCTATATAAAACAATGCATCTGTTTTCCCTGTTGCACCCACCATCTACTTCTTTTACAGGTAGGGGAGCCACTACTGTGTGTTATGTCTCCATCAATTTTATTATTGTAGACTTGTCCTATAAAGGACAATATCTCCTCTTTGGTGGCTAAGTCATCTCTGGATGGTACTCTCAAGGTTTACCCATCTTGCATCATGCCATAGCTTGAATCCTAAATCTTCCTTAAACACTTGTGTGTCAAAGGCTTTGCTCCCAGTGTCCTCTTGAGAGATGCTTAAATCTTTAAGAGGTGAGGTCTTGTGTAAATCTTCTGGCCATTGAGGATGTGCCTTGAAGCTATCAGGGCCTTTGTTCCTTGCCTTTCTTGTCTCATTCACCCCAGACCTATATTTTGTTTAGGAATGTGTATAAATCCCCAATTTCACTTCAGCTACTCTTTCCAGATTTTCCATAAGCTCAGTATTGTCTCCTTGAGTTTAGTAACATACTCATCTTTGTGCGTTGGGAGTCTATTATTATATTGGATGTCTATTATTATGCCCCTCACATTAGGTCCTTTCTTAATGTTTGGTGAGTGAATAGTCAAGTTTAAAGAATAAAAATTTAAGTAAATGTTTTGATTTTTCTGTAGGGGTATGACTCAGGGAAAAGATGGAGACTTTCTGATAGATATTCATTGGCTCTCTTTTGTATGGAAATTGTCTAGCTCCCATGCCTGATCACACCACTGCCCTCCTCATACAGCCTCACATTGTTGGCTCAGCTAGAATGGTTCTTCCCTTTCCCCCAGCCTCCACACTTGGATTTATATTGTGATATGGTGGACTGTCTACTCACCCATGTTCAGGAGATTCTCCAAAACACTAGCTCACTGAATTTCCATACAGCTTCATTTCCCTTCACAATTTGAACTTAAACTTAGTTTATAGAAAAAAAAATGAAGTAGAAAGTCTATCATCTTAGCCCTGGCCTCCTCCTCCTCCTCTTCTTTTTCCTCCTCCTTTTCTTTCTTTTCTCTCTTCTTCACCCTCTCTCCTCTTCCTACTTGTTCTTTGTCAGGGTCTCGATGTAACTCAAGCTGCATCAAACCTCCTATCTAGTCATGAGTGCTGGATTTTATAGGTGTGTGCTACCATACCATTTCTCTCTGTGTGTGTGTGTGCATGCACATATGCTCACATGTATTTTTCACAGCAAGGAGACAAGTAAGTAACACTGTGAGTTAGTTGGCAGCTGTGGGAGAAAGGAGGCCAAAGACATGGATATTTGCAACGACTATTGAATGGCCAACAGGGTGCAAGGCATTTCGCATGTATCGTCGACAGAAAATTCAGCACCTACTGAGCATATAATACCTGGTAAAAGGTCTCTGATTCTCACTGTTGAGCCCTGTTTGTCAATATCAGAAACTAGAGACCATGGCAGCCATTGTAGCTGTCAGGAGCCTCACTATGCAGATGGAAGTCCGGGGTTCTGAGAAACATCAACTGCTAAAGTTTCCATAGCTAACATGGGTGAAATGGAACATTTTCCCTGGTCTTTCACTGCTACTACTGATGCTTTATATTTCAAATATTCGAAGATGAGATACGTTGAAGCCAAGAATGAGGAAGTCTGCTCATGAACAGAGGAGGATGGGGCGAAGACACCATGCTCCATCCAGGAGACATATG